CCTGATGTTTGAGGTGCTCTGCAATCAGGCCCCGACCCCCTTCATCCCATCCCCTGCTCCTTCTCCAGCACCTGACGCCTGCCCATGCTTCCAGGCTGTGCGCATGCTGTTCCTGCAGCCTGGAATATCCTCCTCTTCTGCAGCCCGCAGGGCTCTTCTGAAACCCAGTGGGAATGCCCCCTTCCTCCTCCATGAAGTCCTCCGTGCTGCCTGGCCCCCACACGGAGTCGGCTGTTGCTTCCTCAGCTTTTGGTGGATGGTCTATTCACTCCACCCCCTGAAGCATCTGGATGGGGCCCAGGGCTGGCTCCTCTCTGGTCCCCAGAGGAGGTGCTGAAGAGATAACAATCAATAGCCTGACTTTCACATTTTATAGGAGAGGAAACTGATGGGAAAGAACCCGCTGAAGGTCAGAACTCTAGGGCCACCATATACAGTCTCCTGTGGAGTGTCGTCCTCATCACAGGCCCCTGCAGTCGTTGTTCCCATTGTCCCTGTTTTGCAGAGGAGACATACGGCCAAGCCGACTTGGCCACGGTCACAGGGCTGGTGGGAGGTAGTGTAGCATTGCATGTGTGACAAGGGGTGAGAGTGTCACCTCCCTCTCAGGCTTGTCTTGCACACTTAAGGAGGTAACAGCTATGAAGGAGCTGGTGGCCAGGGGGAGCGTGACAAGATGGTGACTTCCTACTGTCATCCCTCACCCTATGGGCTCTGGCAGGAGGCTGGCTTTGCCCTGTCTCCCAGGTCTCATCTCCTTGGCCTTCCCAGTGTCGCCCAGGTTCTCTGCTCCTTCTCTTCCCCGGGCTTTGGAGAACAATGGAGACGGGGAGCTCATTCTTCCTAAGAGCTTTGCCAGCGGCACAGAGACACCAGGGGAGAAACCCACCGCCCAGCTCAGAGCTTTGGGTGGGACCCTGTAACTGTGGGGCCTGAAGCCCAGCCCTGCCATTCACTGGCTGGGTTGCCCTGGTCAAGTCACCGTGCCTCTCTGGGCATTGGTTTCTGCCCCGGTAAAATGGGGCATTGGGAGTGGGCTTCTGGATTCTATTTGCCAAACATTTCTTATTGAATCTCCCACCAGTTCTTCCTGGGAAGGACCGGTTACAGAGGCAGAAGGAGGGAGTCCTGGCATGTGCCCAAAGTCACACAGTGAAAGACCAGTAGAATCAAAACTGGGTCCCAGAGTCTGCTCTCTCCTCTGCACCGGGTTCGGGATTCTTAGCTGAGGCTGTGGTCTCGCTGGGAGCCACACAGTCACTCAGCTGTGTCCTCTAAGTGCTCCTGGGGCAGCTCAGAGACAAATGTGGATTTAGAAACCCCTGGGGCTCAGGCAGGAAATCCGGGGCGTCCTGGACCCAGCCAGCCTGGCTGTTCCTAAACTGGAGATGAGGGAGATTAATTCCCAGGCCCTGCTGTTCTGTGGCCCCGGGTGGGGCTGTGACATGCAGGCGATGACAGCTGTTCCCTCCCCACAGTGGCTTTCGGAGAGAACATGGAGTCTCAAGTAGGCAGGGACCTCAGGGTCCCTGTGTCTGGTTCAGAAGGAAAGGAGTCCTGGTCACACAGGAGCCAGGGCAGATCCAGGAGGGGACTGATGTCCCAATAATAAGGCCACTGGCTGCCCACACATCTGAACGTCCATCCGGCCAAGCAGGGCCCATGGACATCCCTCTGTGGAGGGGAAGAGCACTTAACCGGCCCGGCTGTGTGTCTGCCAGCAGGTCTTGGCCTCTCTGAGCCAGTTTCCTCTTCTGCGAACTGGGCATATCACTGACCTCGCTGAACTCTCAAGGGAATCGAGTGGGGTTATATCTAGGAAAAGAGGGGGCGCCTGGATGGCTCAGTCGGTTAAGCGTCCGACTTCAGCTCAGGTCATGATCTCACAGTGCGTGAGTTCAAGCCCCGTATCGGGCTCTGTGCTGACAGCTCGGAGCCCGGATCCTGCTTCAGATTCTGTGTCTCCCTTTCTCTCTCTGCTCCTCCCCTGCTCAAGCTCTGCCTTTCTCTCTCAAAAACAAACAAACAAACTAGCAAATAAACAAATAAGCATTAAAAAAAATAATATCTAGGAAAAGAGGACCCCTTTTTCACCACCGCCCCAAATGATGCCAGGGAAGGTTCCTACAACTCCCAAACACTGTCTTCTGTGCCCCAAACCCCAGGGTCAGAGGAGGGATCAGCTGTTTGGTGGCATCCACTTTGTGCCAGATGCCGAACATGTGTGCTCCCAGTCTTCAAAACAACACTAGAAAGTAGTGTCCCCCCCTTTTTGTGTAGATGAGGAAACTGGGACTCAGAGAGCAGAGTCCTTTCCTGCTGTCTGGGCGGAGTGCATTAGGAGGGACCCCCGGGTGGGGGAGAAACAAGCCAGTGGAGGGCCAAGACAGACCCAGGTCTCCCCTCGGAGCTCACCACCAGGGGGACATAAGACATAGGCTCAAATCCCAAACACCGATCTCAGTTCTCCTGTGCAGTGCTGCTAAGGGGAGGCCGGGTGAGGGTGTGGAAGGCAGGGGTCTGGGAGGGGCGGGGCTGACCTACTCTGGGGTCACTCACAGAGGTGCAAAGAAGGTCTGAAGGAGAAGGAGCCAAGGGGATGATCAGAGCAGTGGGATTTCATGGCAGGAGGCAAGGCCCGGGTCACACCCCAAGGCCAGAGCACAGATGTGGGGATGGGAGAAAGTTCAGCTATGGGGGAAGGAGGGTGTGAGGGGGCAGGACCCAGTTTGTGGAGATGAGAAGGGATTTTGAACTCCATTTAGACATCACTGGGGAGCACTGAGGGTTTTAAGCAAGAGTGAGTGATTGGTTTAGATCCAGGGTAGAAAGATGGCTGGTGACCCTGCGCAGAACAGTGGCCCTGGGGCAGGGAGAAGGCAGCTGATTGGGGATCCCAAGCGGAGGGTCCACAGGACTGGAAGGACTGGGGAGAAGGCAGAGAGGAGCGAGCCTAAGGTGACTGCCGGTGGAGATGGCCTTGGGGTGAGCAGGGGGGCCCTTTACAGAAGGGGGAACAGGAGGAGTAGGAATGGGCCATGATCACCGGGAGCAGGGACATTTCTGGGGAGGTGTCTGGTTGCCTAAGGTGAGGATGGGCTTGTGGGCTCAGGCTGGAGGAGCCCCAACGTGGGAGGGGGGGCGGGGGGAGGACAGAGGGTCCCCGAGGAAGAAGAGCCAGGAGGGGCAGGCAGGAAGAGCACGTGTAGCCGCCAGGGCAGGTGGAGCCGCAAGGGCAAGAACGGGACACTGAGCTTTAGCCTGGAGTTGGTGTCCCCAGGAAGAGCAGCGAGGCGGGCGCGGGAATGGCGGGGACGGTGTAGGGTGGGGTGGGGACCTGAGCCGCAGGAGGGGTTGCCGGAGGGCCGGGGCGGCGGCGAGGAGCAGTCGGTGTGCGGGAATGGACTGAGTGCAGGGTCCACGGGGGTCTCGAGCAAAGGGGGTGGCCGGAGGAGGCAGGAAGGAGGCCACTGCCTCAGTGGAGCGCAAACAACAGCCCGGCGCAGGGCGCAGGGAATTCTCTTCGGAGCTCTGGCCGCAGGAGCCTTCAGTCTCACGCGGCGGCGGGAAGGCGACCCCGGCTGGCTCTCCGACCCCATTTGACCCCAGCTTGGCCCTACCCGCTCCGCAGGAGGCCGGCATCCGCGTTTCCCCGAGGAGGCTTTGGTCGCTCCCAGGGATGCCTGTCCACGAACGCTGGGAGAGAAACCCCCAGGACGCTGATGCCACCCCCAGTCTCCTCAGTCGGGCCAGAGGGCCGGGGCCTGGGTTCGAGGCCTAGCTGTGCTGAGTGGCGCCCTGCGAGGGGGCGGGGACGGCCCAGGCCGGCGACTTCCTCGAGCTCCCCCTCCCCGCCCCGGGCGCACAGCCGCGTCTCATTACCTCCCCTCCCCCTCCCCCTCCCCCGCGCCCCGCGGGCCGGGGGGTCTCGGCGGCCGGGGGATGGGAGGGTTATAATCAATCCCAGGCCGGAAATTCCTCCCGAGGGGCCCGGCCGGGCAGCGGGGGCCAGGGGGGGCCCGGCTCGGAGCCTGGCCGGCCGCCCGCGCCTCCCCCCCCTTCTCCTCCGAGCCCGCCCCCCGCATCATGGAAACTGGGCCGCCAGCCGACCCCCTCGCTCCGCTCCGCATTCCAGCCTCGGGGGGCGGGCTGGGCGAGAGCTGCGCGGCCCCGTCGGGCCAGCGGCTGGGGGCGCTCCCAGTGCCTCCGGAGCGGGGACCAGCGCCGCCTCCCCACTCCAAATGGGGCGCGTCCTCTCAGTGTTAGGGAGGCCGGCGGGACCCGCGACACTCCGTTGGACTCCCTCAGCTCTGGGAGAGGGCTCAGCCCCACCGCCCCCACCCCTGCCCTGGGCTGCTATTCACTGAGCGCTCGCGGGGTTACCCGGGGCTGCGCCCCGTGTCGAGTGCCCACCCCCGACGCTGGATTTTCGCCTCTCCGCATCTTGCGAGGCGGACACCTTGAAGCCCATTTTTCAGGTGAAGGCAGTGAGGTTCACGGACGGGAAGGGCTGGGGGCGCGGGCGGGGCAGGAACAGGACCGCCTCCTCCGGGGAGCTCCCCGGACCGCGCGGGGCAGCAGCGGGCTCTCACACGCCTCCGGGGGTCCTCTCCCCGGCGCTTAGAATGAAGGGCTGAGAGGCGCGGGAGGGGGGCGTGCGGGCTTCGAGTCCTCAGTCTGCGCACTCGCTACGGAGCCCGGCAGGGTTCTCCAGGTTTCCCCACGTGGGATCAGGGGGCCTTCCCCAGGCCTCTGCGAACGACAGAAGCCGGGGACTCGGACCCCCGGGTCCTCCGAGCCACCAGGCCAGCACACTGCGCTTACCTGCGACCCTCAGACCTGAGCGGCTGCCTTCTTCCCGCGGTGGGGCCTGGCGGGGTGCTAGCCAGCCAGTCCCCCGGGCTCCTGGGGGGCGGGGCCTGGGCGGCGCTGGGCGGAGCCCGAGTAGGGGGCGGGGCCGGGGGGGGCCAGGATTCGGTGGAGACCGCGGCAGTGCCGCGCGACCCGCGGCGCGCTGACTCGGACCGGGACCCTCCTGGGCGCGGCGGCACCAGGTGAGCAGAACTAGGGTCCGGGGTTCGCCTCCCACTTTCCTCAACTTTTTGTTTCCCCTCCCTCCGGAAAGGCCCTGGGCGGCGGGAGTCCGGTCCTCCCTTTACCCCGGGCAGAGTGTGGACGCTGGCTGAGTGCAAGAGACCCGGCCCGGAGCAACTTCCCGCGGCCTGAGACCTTCCGACTGTGGCTCCAAGTTTCTGTCCCCCTGGGGTCCCCAGCGTGGACTCACGCTCTCCAGAGTCTCGGGGTCTCAAGGCATGTGGCCATCTCTCCGCACGCCTTCGCCCTCCTCCACGCAGAGACGCGCGGGGTCTCCGGGCGACCTTTTCGGGGTTGGGCCCGGGGCCCCAGCTCTGGCCTGGGGCGGGGTGGTCACTTCTGAGGTTTCGGGCTGGGGAAAAGGCTCCACACTCAGAGACGACGGGGAACGGCCCTTGCCTCCTCCCACGACGCTCCCGTGGCTGTGCACAGCATTGGCCGGGGTCGGGAGGCCCGGCGTCGGGTCCCGGTAGAGCCCCCTCCTCGTGTGACCCCGGCAGTCTCCTCCGCCTCTCTGGGCCGCAGTTTCCATCTGTGAAAATTAGGCTTTGGACGCGGCAGACTGCGGCTCAGTGCTAGGCCCCGGGCCTTAGGCACTCCTGTTGGAGGCAGGGATGGGGTGTCGTGTCTTGAGCTTCGGGGGTGCGGATGGGGAGTGAGTGGGGTAGCAAGGCCTCCTTCCTGGGGCTTCGGCTACAGGTTCCAGCACTGAAGCTGTTTAGAAACCATACTGGGGGAGTGAAGACGCACCACCGGACAGCGAGGTCCTAACTCTCCCCCTGCGGGCCAGGGCTCCTGGGCGGGGGCGCGGTTTCCTCCCACACCCTCCCTCCCATGGGGGCCACACCACACACAACCCAGCTACTCCTTACCCGGCCCCGGCTCCAGTCCTCAGGCCACAGGCCGATAAGGGCTTAAACCGGGCGGCCCAGGCTGGGGCGGCCTGAGGTGCTGGGGCGGTGCTGCTCCGTCCGGGACGCGGGCCACAGAGGCCTCGGGTGGAGGAGGCCGGAAAGGAGGACAGGCGGCGGGAAAGGGGGATGATTCATCCCGAGGAGCTCGAATTGGAAACGCTGCAACCTGGGAACAGCCTTGCCCAGGCCGACGGGAGAGCCGGAGGGGAGCTCTACCGGCAGGGCCCCGCGCCCAGCACCTGCAGCCCCCTGCGCCCTGCCGTGGCCACTGCCCGGCCGCTGGGGGAGGAGAGGCCTCGTCTACGCGGAGTTTAAAGCAATCCCGGGCAAAGTCTGCCGCTGGTCTTGATCGGAACGGTCTTCCTGGAGTCTAGCTCAAGTCTCTCCTGCTGCAGCTTCAGTGCAGACTGAGGAGGTCTGAAAGGAGGGGGCGGGCAGGAAGAGGCTGGAGTCAGTGACACCCCCTCCTTCCTACGCTGCGGTATGTAAAGCGCAGTAGGGGGGAGGTGGGGCCCGCGAGCGACCCCAGCGGACCCGGGCGGTCTGAGCGCCCCCTCCCTCCTTTACGGTGCACCCACGTGCGGGGGTGAGGTCGATCCCGGGCGGGACTTACCCTGGAGACGCCACTGCCGGGGGGCCCGCACACCTCCTGAGGCCCGGGGCCGGCGGGCTGGCGAAGAGGGCTCTGGAGGCCGGAGCCCCGCAGCCGAGGATGCGCCAGGTAGCAGCCCGCGCCCCCCCTCCCTCCGCTCCGCCCGCGGGCCCGGCCAACTCCGGCTTCTGCCGCGCGTCCCTGGCTCCGAGCTCCGCTGCGGAAAACCCGAGCGGGGGCGGCTCCCCGCCTCGCGGCCCGGGAAAATCCGGGGGTGGCCGCCAGGGATCTCCAAGCGGCCTGGGCGAGGCAGCCTGAGCTTGCCTCCCGGATTTGGGCCCCCCACCTGGCGCTCCGACCCTAGGCCCGTCGGTTCAGTCCCTGCCTCCCATCTCTCTGCAGAGCGCCTAGACGACGGCGAGATGACGGCTGGGAGCCCTGGAGACTGCGGGGAGGTGCGCAGGAGCCCCGAGGGCCGCGTCTCTCGCCTGGGCCGCCGCCTGGGCCGCCGCCGGCGCCCGCGCTCTCCGCCCGAACCTCTGCGGGTGCGGGCACGGCTGCGGCTGCGCTCGCCGTCGGGGGCGTTCGCGGCGCTGGGGGCGCTCGTGGTACTGGTGGGCATGGGCATCGCCGTGGCCGGCTACTGGCCGCACCGCGCCGGCGCCCCAGGGCCGCGCGCTGCCAATGCCAGCGCCCCCCTCCTGAGCGAGCTGCGACGCGAGGGTCGCGGCGCCGGCCGGGCCCACGGCCCGCACGAGCGGCTGCGGCTCCTCGGGCCGGTGGTCATGGGCGTCGGCCTGTTCGTGTTCATCTGCGCCAACACGCTACTCTACGAGAACCGCGACTTGGAGACGCGACGGCTTCGCCAGGGGGTGCTGCGGGCCCAGGCGCTCCGCCCTCCTGACGGCGCCGGCTGGGACTGCGCCCTCCTCCCCAGCCCCGGACCCAGGACTCCCCGAGCCATAGGCCGCGCAGAGCCAGAAAGTTGGGACCTGTCCCCGCGTCGGGGCACCTCACCCGTCCCGTCAGTGCGGAGTCTGCGTTCAGAGCCTGCTAATCCTCGCTTGGGGTTACCTGCCCTGCTCAACAGTTACCCTCTGAAGGGCCCAGGGCTGCCCCCACCCTGGGGTCCACGGACCCAGACTGGCCATGTGATTATCACCGTGCAGCCCTCTGGTTCCTGCATCGAACATTCCAAGTCTCTGGATCTGGGCCTTGGGGAGCTCCTACTTGGGGCCCCAGCAGCTCGAGACTGCGCTCACCGGAGCTGGCCACGGCTGGACCGCCTCAGTCTGGGGGGTTATGCCAAGTTGGGAGGAGGAGGGGACTTGGGAGCCCGGGTTTGAGGAGCAGGGGACAGCCTTCTAGGCGGCTGCAGCATGGACATTGGTAACAGGACCAGAAGTCCCAATATCAAGTAGAAGCATCAGTCACATCCCAGACTGGAGGTGGATGCTCTGGCCCCATCAGCTGCTAAGGCATCCTGACTTGCATGTCGGCAGACAAATGCCAACTGCACAGGGTTCAATAAGCTGGAGACAATGAGCTTTAATGTGGAGTCTGGAGACCAGCATGACTCGGCCTTGGGATCTCTTTTAAGCCTCCAAAAGTGGCCTTACTTAGCCTCGGACAGGTACCTGAGGGGGCTGGAGGTCCAGGTCAGGGTGACTGGGAGAAACCTGGTGTCTTGGCAAACCCCAAGTGGTGAGCAAGGACCCTTAAGACTCAGAAGGTAGGTTGGGATGTTACAGGCTGGGATGGGCTCCCTCCAAGGTGGTGCCAGTTGCAGGGTCGGGGAAGACGGGCAATGGGGTAGAGCAGAGACCCTCCACTGCCATCTGGGATGGGGCCTGAGGCTTTATCTCCCACCACCTCAGCCCCTGTCTCCCCTCAGCCATGCGGGGTATACCCCACTAGGGCTACACTACTGCCAAAGTCTTCCTACCAAGGGTCTGGCCCCTCCTTAAACAGGTCTGAGAAGCCCCCTTCTCTCTGTCATGGCCTGTGCTGCAAAATCTCCCTCCAGCAGGCAAAAAGCTTTTGTCAGATCTCCTTTTATACAACGTTGAAGCCACATTTTGGCCAATGTTGGGTAGCTTACTTTAGAAAATGGCTTGAATTTGGGTCTCCCTTACCCATGTTTAATTTTCCCCAGATTGCTGGTAGGAAAAGAGAACTTTAAAAGTTGATCAATTCTCACAGATTCAGTCTTTTTTTTTTTGTAAGTTTATTGAAAAATGCAATACAAGAAGCAAGACCAAACACAAATCTAAGCACTACACCACTTCTCTTACTACAAAAGGCCAAAACAGCAGACCTAATTATTGCCTTTTTACTCTAGAGATTTTGCCAATTTGATTCTGCTGCCATAGTTCCTATTTGTCAAGAAATGTAAACAACTACTTGATATGATTCATAATTTTAAAAAAATTTACAAAGCTCCTTCATTTTTGTCACCAAAATAATACATTTGAGAGAGATCTGTAAAAACAGCCAGCCGGGGGCTGAGATCCTGGGCGGGTATTTCTACGAGCAGTGGGCATTCTGTGGTGTTGGTCAGGCCATAGCTCTGGCTCCACTTCCCAGGGCAGACGGTTGTCCCCTCCCCCCCTCCACCGCCCTGCAGAACATGCGATGGGGAGGCCTGGGCCGGAGGGCAAAGAGGCCCTGGAAGGTCCCTGTGGCCAGGTTCTTCGGGCCCTCGGCTTGGAAATTTAGGTCCTGCTTGGTGGGTGGGTGGGTGGTGGGTGGGTGACAGAGACCTCATGTGGCTTGGAGGAAGTCTTTACTTCTCAAGTGAAATAAAAATAAAACTGCAGCGAGAATTGTTACTGTGGTGTGTCTGAGTCACTTTAGGGAAATTGCTGCCAAGTCTCTGACCCTGGAAATGAAACTCTCCCCTCCCCTCTTCACCATTTCCACCTGGACAGAATCTGTTTTTCTTCACACACACACACACACACACACACACACACACACACACACAAATGCACACACAACTGCACACACAACTGCAGGAAGAAATAAAATCCAAACAACTGTCGAACCCTCAGATCTGTTACCAGAGAGGCAGGATAGGGAGAGAGGCTTGGAAGGACACCTTCTGCCTAGCTTGTCCAAATCGTAGCTTCTCAGTGCTGGAAGGGCATTCGAGATCTTCTGGTCCAATTTATAGTTAAGGAAGCTGGAGGAGAAGCACTGTGAGCGGGTGACAGAGCCGAGGGGAAGCGTGGGCCCCTGTCATAGGTCCTGTGTGGTGAAAGCTGCCGCATCAGTGCAGGCAGTGGAGAACCTGGCATGCCAGGCCGCTGATGCTCACCCTGTGCCCTCTTCCTTACCCTGACCCTCTTCATTCCACAGCTGGCAGCCTGGGAAGCTGGCAGCTCTTTCAACAGGACAGCTGGCCGCGGGCAAGGGAGCTCACGTTACACGCCTTCTGATGTGAGCTGGATTCCTAACCTCACCACCACTCCTGGCGACGCAGCCTGGGCATGGGTACCACCAAGAGAGCCCCATTGTTTCAGACCCTGTGCCCACGGGCTGGAAGTCTGCTCCTGAGACAGGACAGTCCTGTCTCCGCAGGCCTGTCATATGCCCTACCTGAGCTCTTCATCCCTCTCCAGAGAGAGCTGCCTCTCGGCTAGTAATATTCTCACATAAGTACTAAAGGAAAATGCACACGTCTGCAATCAGTTCAAACCAGCTGCGTTTGTCTAAAACCAGACTTGGCCAGAAGAGGCCTTGGACACAGGTGGCTGCCTCCCACAGTGGGGAGCAGGGGTTTTCGACGTCTCTCACTGCTCCGGAGCCCCCCGAGACTGCTGACTGTGATCCGCTGTCTATCTCATGAGGTTCACTTCTGTCCCAGAATAAGATTCCAAGAACTTCCGGGCAGATGTGTTTGTGGGAGCAAGCTGGAAGATTCGAGAAGTGCTATTGAATAAAAATGCCCCCAGACCTACCAGGAATGGTGGAATTGGGCACATCAGTCAGTCCCATTTTCAAAACCAAACGAACAGCAACAACAACAAAAAAGTAAAAGTAAAATAAACCCACAACCCACCACAAAAATCAAGCCTATAAAACCTGACAGACCTCAGATGGCGAGTGGGAACGAGCAGGGCTGGTGTTTGTTCCCCTTGTCGTGCAGGGTTTTGTGGGAAGGATGGCCCCTAAGAGTCAATTCCCTTGCTCCAGAAGTGTGTCTGCAGGCAGGTACCAGTCAGGAGAAGAAAGGACAAGGAACAAGACCTCCTCTCTGAGTCACATTCCCTGTCATCCCAGGATTAAAGAAAGAGGCCCAGGGTTGGTCACCTGGAAATACTTCTTAGCAAGATCTGACTGAGGTAAACCCCACCATTCCCCTGTGTGAAGTGCACATTCCCAGAACTAGAAAACCTTTTTTAAAACCTCATTAACTTTCTCCTTGCCTAAATCACCACTCAAAATGTGCCATTGGAGCTTCTGGCCAAAAGTGCCTATTTTTCTGTGAGTTTTGGTCTCCTGAGATGGGAAGTGGGGGGAGCACTTAGCAGAGCCACTGCTTCTGATGAGGTAAAAGGGGAGGGAGGGCAGGAAGGTGAAGGCCACGGATATGTTCAAACATTCACAGTATCAGATAGATATGAAACAACTTCTTATGTCTTTGATCTAAAGAAGCTCCAAAAAGAAAGAATAGGAGGAAAGAAGGAAAAACAATACTACATTCTTAGCAGAGATCTCTGCCTCACTGAAACCACCCTCAACAAAGGGACAGGGACGTTTTCCTGGGGCCTGTGGATCAGGACAGCTGCCCTGCCTCACATGGTAAAGTCACATCATTGGCTCTGAGAAAGGGCTGGTGAATGAAGTTTCTGCTGACATCCAAAGGGTATAAAACTAGGGGACGAGCAGGAAAGCCCCATTAAGCTGGCTTTGGCCCCCAACACAGCTGACAGAATCCTTGGAAGATTTCCCCAAGAATTCTGTGGACCTGTCAGGATCTGGGTTGGAAATAAATGGAGAGAGGCTAGGTTAAAGGGGTTACAAACCACCCCATAAAAAAACCAAAAAGCTCTTTAAAAACAGTCCATAGAGTGAAAAGTTGAACAATTTCTGGTATCACAATGTAGAAAAAGTATTAAAAGAACCAGTGATGTCTAGAAGACTCTCTTGGTATAAATTCCAAATAGAAAGTGAAATTTTCTGGTGGTTTAGAGTAATTTTCAAAGTCTGATGTCTGACTATTGCAGGAAAGCTTCTTTATCATTTTGCTGGTTTTCTCTTGGATGGGAGACAGGCGGGGAGTTGGGGTAGGATAGTTCCTAGAGGAGAGAAAGACACTTTTTAAATCCAGCAAAGGAAAACAGCCACCCAGCCCCACTGCCAGTTCTGTGGCCCCAAGTCACAAGCAGGGCCTGAGCAGTTTTACAGAGCCCAGTCCTACCTGTGATCCATGGCTTCTTCGAGTTGTTTGTAAACTACTTTCAGGCATAAATTTATCTGGATCCCTGGGCTCTCTGAAAGCTGCTATGCTGCTTTCAATTTTCTAGTCTGGCCTGGCCCCCTAGTCCCCTAGCCCCCAAGCCCACGTTTCCGGACAGGCAGGTCCTGCTTTTCTTGGTTTTGTTCTCCTCTGGCTCTCTGAGGGTTAGACTCAGAGATCCCTGTGACGGCAGAGAGCAGATCGCAGACAGAAGAGAGAGGGAAGGCTAAGTGAAGAAGCAGGAGGAAACGGGAAGATTCAGGAAGTGAGTGGGGGTTTCCATCCAGGCCTAGGGTGTGTCCTCCAGCCTATCACTGCTGGCCTGATAAAGGCAGGCGGACCCAAGGAGGCTAGCTGCTCTCATTGGAGCCAAATCCTTAGTAACTTCTCTGTCTCCCTCATCAGCCTCTCCTTTGCCTTTGCTTTATTAAGTCCCAGTGTGGACACCTCTGGGGGATGTTCCTGCTCAGTGTTCTCTGAGGGGGGGACAGTGGACCCCCTCCACCCCACCAAGAACAGCCCGTACCTGAGCTCATTCCTCAGAGATTTCGGTCTCCTGATGGACGACCACCTTGGTCACTGACATGTCTGGGTGCTGCTCCTTTGCCTCCTTGATGGCCTGTACGAGGACCTGAGAAAGACAGAAACAATGTTCGTCAGGCAGAAAGCAGGCTGGCTGGTGAAGGAAGGCAGGGGTCTCAGGACATGGTTTCTCTGGCAAATTCAATCTTTCCGTCTGTAGTACCGGGGCAGCATTTAGGCTAAGCCAAGCTGATAATAGCCTTACCTCCCCTATCCTGCATAGGGAGGCTCCTGGACTGAAAACACAGAGACAGGGAAGGCTAGAGCTGTCGTCAGGGAATCATAAAGGGACTTTAGGGGTGACAGCTGTACCTGCTGGGTGGGTCTGGGAGGATTCACTCAAGAAGTGAGTGGAAAATCTGTATTCACTATAGGGTAGCCAGGAAGTTCAGAACAGAAGAGGAAAATATAGAAGCATGCTACAAAAAGGAAGAGGTATCTTCGGCTAACGGAGAGGAAAGAAAGTAAGGAAGAGTGGGAGGGCCTATTAGATGCCATGCATTGGCCTAAGCACATTATTATTATTTACTTAATCTTCAGGATGGCTCAATGAAATTAGGGTAGCATCACTGTTTCCACTTCATTTTAAAATTTTTACTTTTTAATGTTTATTTTGAGAGAGAGGGAGGGAGGGAGAGAGAGACAAAGCATGAATTGGGGGAGGGGCAGAGAGAGAGGGAGACACAGAATCCGAAGCAGGCTCCAGGCTCTGAGCTGTCAGCACAGAGTCCGACGGGCTCGAACCCACGAACCGTGAGATCATGACCTGAGCTGAAGTTGAACACTTAACTAACTGAGCCACCTAGGCACCCCATGTTTCCACTTTGTTTTGAAGTAAGCTCTGTGCCCAACGTGGGGCTCAAACTCACAACCCCAAGATCAAGAGTTGCCTGCTCTTCCAGCTGAGTCAGCCAGGCGCCCCTCATTGTTTCTATTTTACAGACAAAGAAACCGAGGTTCAGTGGTTAAATAAAGTGGTTAATGTTTCCCAGCTAATAAGTAATGCAGCAGGGATTTTAACTTAAATCTATAAGGCTTTCTTCTTCACTACACTGTATTTAGTTTCAGGGAGACCCTGTGTTAGCATCTGAAGGAATTCTGATCATTTTAGAAAAACTAAATGAAAACAGAGGGAAAGTCAGGGAAATGATACCACTACTCTTCCTGGGTAGCAAGTCTCTGAGCCTCAAGCTCACAG